CAAAGGGGCTACGAGGGGCACATGGAGCAATATGTTTCTATCCCACCCACACCTAACAGCCCCTGGGTACTCAACCAGCATCTTCCCTGCATGTGTGGATGCCTCGCTGTGCTTCTAGTTAGCTGATACAGCCCCTGCTGCCCTCTCATCTCTCCACTGCATTGTCATTCTGTCCCTCCACTGCTTGGAGAAATAACTTGGCCACTTCTCTGTAGCCTCTGCAGAGTGACTAATATCATAAATATCCCTGCTGTCAGCTTAGCCAGATGGAGGGATGGATTTTTCTCCTGGTTCTGCCCATTCCCCATTAGCCCTTCACAGCAGGGGAAAGGGCCAAAGAGGCCCCGAGCACAAGATACTTCTCATCGCAGTGTCAGACAGTGAAAGATTCCACCAAACCTTCTGATGTGCTCAAATGATGCCCAGGCTTTTTAAGGACACAGTATCACCTGGGCAGAAGGTTTCCAGAGACACTGAATGCACCACTGACTTGACAAGCGACACTTGTTTGAAGGTGAGTTGAACAAACCTGCTTGAGGATATCTTGAGCCAAAACTATGCTGTTCCTTCTACTCAGAACTGTCTCTTCACACCTTCATGGACATGGCCCCTTATGATCTGTCCTGAGCCAGAAGCCAGAACCAAACCAGTTTGTCCAGGGGGGTCACTGGACTCTCCAGAGCATGCCACTGGGCGCAGCTCAGTGGTGGGCAAGCTGGGAAGGCCCCTGGCTTTGGACGACAGTGACCGAACGTCCCACACCACATGCCACAGGAGCAGGGGGGACACATCTGGTGTCCCAATCCACTTCCAGCTGCTGCTACCACCTCCTGCCTCCCGTTTCCCCCAGACTTTAACTGAGACAGTCGCTTTCCTAATCCATCATGCACTCTTGCACGGTTGTCCTGAAGTTGGGCATTTCAGTGGGAGGTCAAGTGATGCCTGGTTATAACAACTAGGATTGCCAGTGGAAGCCAAGGCAGGAAAGCACCTGCTGAAGCTGAAAGGGAGCTGGGTGCTAACTCCTTCAGGCTCCCTGAAGAAATCTCAACCCAAATGCTTTGGGAGCTTTCCGGTGGAAAGGTGCGGTGGAGCAATCGTGGATGGTGCTGTCTTCCAGCTGCTGAGGAGCTGACATTTAGGGACGCAGGGTAGGAGCGGCAGGACTACAGAGAATGAGAAGCAGCAGCGCTAGGAATTTCCACTTTACGATCCTCATACCTCCCCTGTTGCATGACATCGAGCTGGCAGAGCAACCAAGGTAGCTCTGGCTTAGCAGCAAAGGGGGAAGGAGAGAGAATAAAGCCAAACCACTGTGCTGCTGGGCCTGTTGTTCTAACTCCTCCGTGTCACCTTCTGACCTTGCCCTTTCTCTTCTGTGGCAGCATGCAAAGGGCAATTTCTCTAAGGGAAAGAGGCAGGCATGGACGCTGCTGGTTCAGAGAACAGTGCAGCAGAGAGCAACTCCCCATCAGCCATTGATGCTGGAAGGCCTGGTATTAGCTACTGCTGCTTAGTAGTTCCTGCCTTGCTTAACATGAAGAGCTTCTCTTCCCGCTTCCCAGCGGGAACATGGAGAAACCAGGAAAATGGGTCTGGAGGCAGTAAGGAGGTGATCTAAATGAGACTGGCCCTTGTAGCTCCTGCTGAGGGAATCTGAGTCAGGATCTAAGCACAGACCACACCAACAAGACATCCCCTAGTCTTCATTTCTGATGATGCCACTGAAAAGCAGCATTGCCAAACAAAGAGTAGCGTATTAGAAAACAGACCACCTAAATCTCTTCCCCATGCTGCCACTGGCTCACTGTGTGACCTTGGCTGATTTGCCCCTCTGCACCTCAGTTTGCTGGTCTGTAAAATGGAAGCATGATGCTTGATGTTAGAGATGGGGGTGACCAAGATCCAGCTCGCAGGGTGGATCCAGAGCTCAGCACCATGTCATTTGGCTGGCGAGACTGCCCACAGGGGTGCAAGTCTGGCAGTGGGAAGTTTATTGGCAGTTCTGGCTCCGGCAGCTGTAGCAATTAATGATGCCACTGTCAAGTCCCAGCCCCGCAGGTCAGATGACAAGGCTCCATGCTTTTCATCCAGCCCATAGACAGGCTCCACCTTCCTGATCTGGCCCATGTACTGGCCCCGCACCACCCATCTGGCCCACAGGGCCAGATGAGCTGAACACTACTGCTATAAATGACACACAGAGTCTCCAGGGCAGCCATAGCTGGGGATGGGTTTCTTGTTTTGATATTGCTTAGTAGAAGTGAGGGGGGAAGGATGATCCAGTAGTTTGAGCCCCAGGCTGGGCATCTAAGTGCAGTTTCTTGTTCTGCCATGGATTTTCTGTATGGTCTTGGAAGACCTTGCTCCAGGCACCTAATCTGTACTGAAATCAATAGGAGTTAGTTGCCTAAATACCTACAGGGATCTGGGCCTTGATTCTTCCCGCTTCTTACTGTGCCTCTTTATTCCATGTTCATAAAATGAGGATAGTGGCAACGGCCTGGCTGACCGGATGAAGATTACTACATTGAGGATTGTAAGCAAGTCAGGGACTGCACTAATAGGGACTATATCCAAGCACAAAGAGCTTCCCCTCGGATGTACAGAAGATCTGCTGCCTTATTTACCAAAACTATCATGATTCATTAGTCTGTCCTGTACCTTTCTGTTTCTAGGGATCTTCGGCCTGCAGCCACCATTTTGTGCAGGTAGAACTTTGCAGACTGCAATGGAGGCGATGAAACACCCTCTGCTCTCCACTGAAGATCTCTCTTTTGTTCCCTGTTGTTTTCTTAACCAAGGCAAAAGGCCATTTGGACTGGATGGATACAGCTGCTCTTTGAATATGTAGGGAAGATCTGCAGCTAGTGGAAGCTGAAATCAACTTCAATGGGAATAATGCACTTTATATCAGTAGAAGATCTGCCCCCAACATACACACAGCATCTTGTAATGACTGGTGCCATGCCAGAGAAGCAGAGAAATATGGCAAGGAAGACCAGAGCCCTTATTAGATCTTGGTTTCACTGCACATGCTTGTTCTGGCCCAGAACAAAGTATTAGTGCAAAGAGACACAGAAAGGAATTGGGGCACTCAGGCTATATTCCCAGCTCTGCAACTGACCTTCTGGGTAACTTCTGGCAAGCCATAGTGTCCCTCTAAACCTCAATTTCCGATCTATAAAATGGGGATGATGCCACTGGCCTCCTTCATAAACATTTTGAAACATGAGAAAGGTACTGCAGTAGTAGGTATTATTATAGCTGAGTGGCCCTCTGACACTTGAGCCCAGAGCCCAGCAATGGTAATGATATGCTTGATAGGTCATGCTTTGCGGGCAGAAGGTGCATGTGTGTGACAACTGCTATGGTTAGCTTACACAGGACCACTAAGGAATAGCAACCAAGGGGGTTGAGACTGCCACTGCTTCCGGTGTCAAGTATTAAAACTAAGTCTCATTAAAACATTAAGTCTCATTAAAACCAGGGATGGAAAAGCTCTCTTAGGCCTAATTGGGCGCTGAACTAACTCCTTCTGGCATATCTACCAGAGCTTTCTACAGTCTAGTTTTAAGTATCTCAAGTGATGGGGCTGCTACTATTTTCTGGGGGGCCTAATTAGCCCGTGCTTTACCAAACGGTACCTTTTTAGCTCTTAGCCTTGCTTTAGAAGTCAGGCCTTTCTGTTTATAATATTGCTGGTTATAAGATGCCTGGGATGGAGTGGGGTTCTGTTGGCATGGCCTAACCTGGAGCCCACAGAAAAAGGGGGTTTCTCCCTGATCTGATGCAGGGCTCCTTCTTGCCTCCTCGGTATGATGCCCAGAACAGCAGTGTCCTTTCTGATTCCTCAAAACAGTAAAGATGTTAAGATAGGTGGTATTAAAAAGGAAGGGTGATGTAGGGCTTAAGGCCTGGGAGCGGGTCTCCAGGAGGCTTACTCATCAGGTCTGCTACCAACTCCTCATGGGACTTTGGGCAAGTCAGTTATTCTCTTTGTGCCCCTCTAGAGAAGGGAATAGTCTATCCCTCCTTCTGCCCTCTATTTGTCTTGTTCATTTAGATGATGAGCCTTTTAGTACAGGTAGACCCCTATTCTGGGGCCTCAACCACTGCTGGGACTCCAGGAGCCACTGCAATAACATTATGTGGGATTTATCGACTTCAGCTGCACTTCCATTAGCTTGGCAGAGGTTGAGCATTTTGCCACGTCCTGTGCAAACAACCTGCCATGGAGCATATGCTGGAGCATCTTGTCAATAGCCCCAGGCCTTTGTTTAATTGGGCACTTGCTGATACTGGATGAATTGATAATTTGGCTCACTGGCTACTATACTCTGTAAGCTTCTGGCAAGAGAGAATGTCACTTGGACCTCGAAAGATCCTGGTCTCCCCTTCCTCCTGCCAGGCTCTGCGATTCTTCCCAACCAGGCTGATAACCAGTCTTGGCCCTAAAAATGAACAGCCCTAGTCCATTTAATTATGCCCTAGCTGGTATCCCTGCTAACGACAGAGCATAGTCTAACCCCTGATGCCAGGAAGCATCTTATGACACTGGAAATCTCACTGAAATCCCTGAGACTGCTTGCAGAAACAAGGCATTGGGCTCTGGCCCACTTCCTCTCAAACATGAGACATCATTGCCATTCACACATTTTCAGCTGATGTCCACAATCCTGTCTAATCCAAGGCTCAAGGGTTCTGCATCCCATCAGAGTGTTTCTGCCAAGTCTTCCATGACTTCCTGCCAAAAACACCACTGAGAACTGGGGACAATGGAAGCAGGGAGGCAGAGGAACATGTGCACGAGGTGGTTGGATTTATCTGCATGGAAGTAGAACTTATGAAAGGAGATCCTGGAAACAGGGGCGACGGAAGAAAGCAGGGCAGGTGACATTTTGGAAACAACCAGTGAAAGGAGAAACAGGAGACATCCCTGCTGGGAACGGAGTCCAGGGAAGCAGGTGGCAGAAGCTCACCCCACACTTTGTACTTACCAATTCGATCCAGCCTGTCCAGTGCCACTGTTTCAAAAGCCCTTCTCATCATGGGATATTCCTCCAGCACCTCGTTGAAGTTGTCCACCGAGAGTGAGTAAAGCCGGCAGTAGGTGTCTGCTCGCACACTCGCCGTACGCCGGCCTCGGGTCAACAGGCAGATTTCTGAAAGAAAGACACAGCCTCAGACTCCTGGGAGAAGAACCCGCACCAAGTTCAAACGTCCCCAGCCTTGCCCCTTAGCACCATCCCTGCCTCCACGTCGCCCCCAGAAAACGCCTTTGCTCCTGCTGCATAATGGGATCTGGCTAGGCTGCCTCACCTTCCCCTCCCAAACATTAGCAGTGGAAATGTTCTCGGTAGGCAATAATATTTAAAAACAAAATACTCAACTGCGGTAGCCACTGCATAAAATTGCACCTCAGGGAGTCTGCTGATCTAATTAGCTAGTCAAGTTCTGTTCCGGTGGATTATCATAGATATCATTTGTGCATTCAGAGTGGAGGAAGTGTCTCTCCAACTCCTCCTGGGCCGCTGGGAGGAGGAGGTCAAGCCACGTTTCACTGAACTGAACTCTCTCAAGATTTGCACTGAGGTCTCTTGTTTGACTTGTGGCCTCTGTATGAGGAGGTGTTAACGATCTACCACACCAGCAACACACAGGCAACAGAGCTGACTAGGAATTTGTAGATTTGTTATGACCCTATTGTCAGGATACACTTGATAATAGCCCATTTATTACTAACATTTAACATTTCCATGAGGCCGGTGGCCAAACAGAAAAGGCATCTCTCAGTATTTGGGGAGGTGTGAGTTTAAGTCTTGCTCTGCATAGGTGCCAAAAGCTGCCCTAGTCAACCCAGCTGTAACAGGGTACCTGGTCATTTGGGCTAGGCAGTCAAATATATATGTGTTGCTACCCACTTTGCCTCTTTGTATGCTCTTGCTGTGTCTTCAGCACTTTAGCTCTGTTGGGCTCAGGTGGACCTTTGACTTACATTACATGTAGCCATACTCACAATGGACACTTCCCTGGGGGTAAAACTGCAATGCTCTTGACTGGTATAACTTTGTGGCTCTACTCCTCTCCGTACCTGGTGTGTGTGTGTGTGTGTAATTCTACAGATATCTTTCCTGTGCACCCACTGCATATGCTCAAGAGCTGGGGACACAGTAGTACTGTGATGTAATAACTCTGACTGGTGATACTTGTTTTTAATCCCTTTAAAAAAATTAAGATAAGCACTCCTGAGGGAGCTATCCTAATGGATGATTAAACCTGGAGGAAAACCACTCTCTTCTGGCAACCAGCATGGTTCCTGACTGTCAGTGCAGCCTAAGCAATAACTTTAGTGCACTCTTTCTTCTTTATACAGTTGGGCATAAAAGTTTCAGGACTCTAGATCTGAAGCTGGTATCCTTCCCGCTCCAGCTGCCAGGGACCTTCCAAAGGAATCTGGCCACAGTCATTCTAGAAAGAGATATAACCTGAACCAGAGTCCATGGTACCATTTATCGATTGCAAATAGGCATCATAGCCAGCAGGTCCTCTGTCCTATTTTAGACCTTCAGAGGTCAGTCAAGCACCCGCTGAAGAGCTGGCATTTGGGAAGCAAACCAGTTATCCAGCTTCAGATGTGGGGTGCAGCCCACAGCCAGTGCACAGAGGGGTGCTGGTGTATCAAGAATGAGGGACTGCAAGGCATGGGAAGAGGTCTTATACCAGGCAAGGAAGTCTCAATGCAGTCTTGTGATGAAGCCAACACATTTCATATGATTCATATGAACCAGAAACTCCACCCAGGACTGTCGAGCCCAAAGCCCAACAAATGGACTGCAGGTTGCAAATATCCTGTGCACTGTGCAAGCACCCCGGACCCTGCTGGCATAGTGGGGTTTCTTCACACTTGCTGAGGGTCCTCACAAGAAAGAGATCTTTTATTTGGTTAAGACACAGCTCTGAGGCCTACCAGGGCAGAGCCCCGCTCTGTGTCTCTTCTCCACAGTACACTGAATCTTGGCAAGTCTAATGTTTGCATGGGAACTTGCGTCTGCATAACTTTTGCCTGGTCTGAGGTTTCACCGTGCAGGTTTTGCAGAGCAGTTACAGTGAAACAGCAGACAGCGCTCTGTCCTTACCATCCTCACGTTTGTCTGACTGTCATCCTGCTTCCTGCTGTCTGTCTGTCTGTCACATCCACTTCTGGAACCTCATCATCTTTCATTAGGGACCTCTCTGATGCAGGGGCTACCGGGTTTTTTTGGCCCATGGCTATACAACGTTGAACACTGTAGGGCTCTGATTTCCAGCTACCACTTCAATACAATAATAAAAATGTGGTAGGAGAACTGCAGGGCCCAAGGAAATATTAAGGGCCTCTGCCTGGCAGATCTGTTAATGTACATGAAGCAAGAAGAAAATGAACAGTCTTCTCTTTGATTTTGATATTGATTTTGACTTGTATCCTCTTACTGCCTAAGGCCTTGTCTATACTGTGCCAGCAGCAGGTCTCGTGAAGGATGGGACGAAGCAAGCCCAGCCCACTCGAGTTTCCTGAGGTGCTCTGAAGCCAGAAGTTTATCTCTGAGGCTGGTGGAGGCTAATGTCCACTCCAGCACCTGCTTATAAGCCCTTGGTCTCTTGCAGGACTGAGAGTGGGCACTGGTCAAGAGTCCAGAGCAGCCTCAGGGGCAAACTCCTACCTCTGAAGCATGTCCATGGACTCAGGTGGATGCAGCGTGCTCAGTCGTTGAGATTCACACCAACATGGTATACACCAGCACTAACAGCCTATGGCACAAAGTGCTAGACTTTCCCCCTACCCCTGGGAATAAGGAGTTGCCCCTCACTCCCAACAGCTGACAATTTCAGTGCAAGATAAAAGGCAGCAAAGGAGGAGACAAATGAAGGGAGAGGGAGGAGGGGATTGAGGTGCTCATTCTGTGTGCAGTCATCCCTTGTCCAGGGGGTATAAAGGGAACAACCCTGGGGCTCATTGCTAAGCAGTACACTTGGATGGCTTAGTAGCTCTCACCTCCAAAGTAGGAGCCGTCTGCCAGCTTGGTCTCCTTGTTGCCTTTGGTGAGCACACTCACCACCCCGTGCTGAATAAAGTACATCTTCTTGCCGATGGTACCCTCCCGGATGATGTAGTCCCCTGGCTGAAAGACCTCGAACCGCAGCTTGGTCAGCATGGACGTCACAAAGTTGGGATCCGCGTTGGCAAACAGAGGCATGGAGGCCACCAGCTTCCGGCAATTGAAATTTATGATTTCCTGGCCACAAAAGCAAAGAGCAGGGGAGTCACACACACATATGCACACAATGACATGCAAGTATTCAGTTAGGAGGCAATGACATGAACTCTCCCTCAACATCCCTGAGCAGGTCATTAGAAAAGCCAAAGAAAATAGGCTCCTCGTAGGTTCAATGCAGAACCCAGCCCATGCTGGGATAGGACACAGAGCATCTAGATGCCTGTACAGCACAGCCAGGTTTACTAAGGCTGGGTGTTTGATGCTGAGGGTCATTGCTTGAGTCCAAGACATTCTCTGCTACCTAGGACCCTGCGCTACCTCCCCTACAACACTTCCCCGACAGCTTTGCTTTGCCAGGCCTTGCACTGTATGAGGCAGTGGGTGCTACCGGTGAAATGCCACATGACATATCCAGGGGGCTTCTTCCTGGGAATATGCTGTAACCCACCTTGGCAGCCCTACACCCTGCCTTGTCCTTGCCTGATTTTGAGATGCTAAACTGTCCAGATGTGCCCAGCCACCTGGAAGAGGAATGATCAGGAGCAGCTGGAGACTTGGTGGGGGAAGAGGGGAGGTGGAAAGGTGGCCATGTTAGTGTGGCACAGCTTGGCTCTGATTCCTTGAGGTTGTCAACCTCAGTCAATGAAAATCTAATGTGATTTTACCTCTGCCATAAGAGAGGAATGCACTCTTATTTATTTTTCACTATATTGTGTCCTCTTAGGCTATGATGATGCTAGCCAATGACTCGGTCTGTTTTGTGTCACATCAGTTCAGATTCAGAGAGCAACATGAAGTGAAATGGAGGTAAATCACCTAAATCACTCCTCTAGGAGGGAGGTATATCACTCCTAAAACCTGGGAGTGATTTACCTCCCAGTGATTTACCATAAAGAAAGAGATGACTCCCTGTGCTAAGTGACACGTGCTGACAGGGAGGCAGTGTGCGCTAATGAAGCAGGCCCTGCAGGGCTGGCCAGGGGCTTAGAAACCTGAGCCAAGTGATGGATAAAATGTATGAGTGGTTACGAGAAGCTGGAACATCACTATGAGGGACAACAGCTGAGAGCAGCAGTTGTGCTGAGGGGAATGTACAGGAAGGTGGGAAGTTAGACACCAGGGCAGGGAGAGTTTGTGTCCTCATCCTCACCAGGAGTCTAACCTTTGTTTGAAAGATCTGCCAATGCCCGTGAAAAAAGAAGAGAAGCCCCGCTGGGCATGGGGCTTGCTGGCAGCTGTGCCCCAATGTTTCACAGGGCCGGGAGGACTCTGCTGGCTGCAGTGGCAGCTGTCTCCCAGCCCTGTGCCCATCGGGAGCCCTCCCAATGTGCGTGAGACCAGGAGACAGTTGCTGCTGTAGCCAGCAGAGCTTTCCTGGCCCTGTGAACATCAGGACCAGCCCCATTCCCCCTACAAGCCCCTCGGGTGGTACCCCAGGGGAGCCTGGAGCTCCCCTTGGCTGCTGCAGGGGGGCAGTAGACCTGTGCAAGTAGGCAGCTATTCGATCCGGCTTTGGATCTGGCCACTTCGGATGTCAGCGATCCAATCTGGAAGTTCGGATCGGGTTTCCACTTTGATCCGGCCGAAGTGGGCCCGAAGCTTCGGAGCCACCTTGGAGATCCAGTGATAGGGTATAATGGGGAATCAATGAAATATCTATAACTTTGTTGGTTTTTATTTTATTTGGATGAAACTTGTAGAGGTGGTAGTCTCTGCTAAGAGCATGAATCCTGCCAAGTTTCAAGAAGATTGGTGCAGGGGTTCAGGGGGAACTGCACCCCAAATTCTTGAAAGCAAAACTCACGTCACATGTATGTGTTACACCACATGGGGGTGAAAACTGCAAGGATGGTGACTCCTGCTGTGGCCACGAAGCCTGCCAGCTGTTAAGGAGATTGGTGCAGGGGTTGTGGGTTCTGGGGCCCTGCACCTCTGGCTGCTGACAGGCAAAACTCATGACATGGGTGTTTGTGCAACTGACTGTCTCTGGCTTGGGGCAGTTGATTGTCTGTATTGATTCTTTCCTCTCCTTAGTCTGTGGTTTTGTAGGTGTTAATTGTTGCTAATTCACTCATAACTACCTTAATTAGCAACGATTAACACCCACAAAACCACGGACTAAGGAGAGGAATGAATCAATACAGAAAAATAAACTGCCCCAAGACAGAGACAGTTAGTTGCACAAGCGCCCGTGTCATGAGTTTTGCCTGTCAGCAGCCAGAGGTGCAGGGCCCCAGAACCCACAACCCCTGCACCAATCTCCTTAACAGCTGGCAGGCTTTGTGGCTGCAGCAGGGGCTACCATCCCTGCAGCTTTCACCCTGCTGCGCCTTAACACACGCAGTGTCACACATGGCATGAGTTTTGCTTGTCCGCAGCTTGAGGTGCAGTTTCCCCCAAACCCCTGCACCAATCTTCTTGAAACTTGGCAGGCTTTGTGGCCTCACCAGGGGCACTTTTCATCTAAATCAGACAAAAAACAACAAAGTTATAGATATCTCATTGATTCCCCATTATACCCTATGGCCAGATCTCTGAGGCGGCTCCAAAGTTTTTCCAAAGCAGTTTGGAAAGCCTAACAAAGCCAGCACTTCGATCTAGGCATGCTGCTTCAGATGCCAAAGCATCCAAAGCTTCTCCAGATCTGAAGCATGGTCCGAAGCCTCGCACAACCCTAGGGGGCAGAACAGGGAAGGAATAGCCCTGAACTGGACTGCTCCCATTGGGATCAGATTTGAGCTCAACATGTGTAAACATGCTCCTGGGGAAGGCTTATTACACAGTATTTTAATACACAGTAAGCCTATATTACATTAGTAGCATGTGTAGATTCATCCTGGGATGACAGAGGTGAGCTGATGACAAATGTCCCTCTACGGTTGTAAAATTATTTGTGGCTACCTGCTGTACGCAACAAGCAGAAGTTACCTTAAACAGAGGCACAGAAAGGAGTAGGGCCTTGTTGTGCCCCATCCTCCACCCAGTGCTCCTGCTGCCCTTCTACTCTGGTGACTTCTTTTGGGCAGCTGACAAAATACCTTATTAGCCTATCCTGCTGCTCCCTGTGAGCTCTGTGGCTGCTGGAGCTGGGAGTAACCTCAATCACCCATTGGCCTCCATGATTTCCCCCATAGGCCCTTGGCAGCTCCTCTCCTTACCTCCCGGAGGGGCTCACTCAGCTCGCCGAGGATGCTTTCCTCATCAAACATCTTGCCCTGGTAGCGGTGTTCGTAGTAGTCGTGGATCCGCTGGCGCATGTCTGCCGGGAGCTTGTGGAAGGACATGTACTGCTCCACTTGCTTGTACTGCACAAGGGAGAAGGCAACAGAAAAGGTCTTACCAGGAGGTGAGGCTAAAAGGCACCTGAGCCACCGCCAGTCATTCTGGCTACAGCATCCTGTCCATGTAGGAGCAAATCCAGCTGAGGCTTCCCTCCTTTATACTGAGTTGGACTCACCCTGGCAGATCTGGGCACAAGAGAGCAGGGAAGCCAAACTCTTAGGGAGCGGGAACTCAGAGGCCATTTTTGTGCTCCCCAGATGATTGCCACACAGTTTATTCTTTGACCAGCATGGGCAATTCTTATGCCATCATCCTTGACCTCCCTGACCAGTAGAGAACCACCTTGTGCCCAGCTATTTGCTGTGCCTCAAACCCACCTCACCTCACTTCTGCAGGCTTCCACCTCCTCTTGCAATATGCTCCTGGCCCAATCTGACATCTCAGGCATGTGCTCTCATACCTCGTGCGATTCCCAGCTGCAGATCCTACACTGCCAGCTGGGTAGGGCACTGCCAATAGTACATGTCCAAAGGAGGCCGGGCAGACTTCCAGTATGATCTCTGATGTGTATTCTTGCAGCTAGAAACTCTCTCCAAACCACAGACGGGATGACCCTATGCAACCTGATCAAACCCCAATACCTGCTCAGTGTTTTAAGGGTTAAACTGTTCACTGGTATTTCTGGTAAGGGTACAACCAACATCAGGACTCACTCCTTGCCTTGCCTTACTCTTATCTGGCTGACACCCTCAGACATGAGGGGAAGGAGGGGCAGATTCTGTTCTTCCTAGTCGGCCCCCTTGTTATGCTCCTATTCCACCTTTCATGAGTCCCTGAAAATCCGTTAATGCATCTACTTTTGTAACACAGAGGATCTTAGCCTGCACACTGAATCACAAGAGAAGTGAGTAGAAGAAACCACCCACCTGCTTTATTACAAGTCTTTCATGGATACAAGCAGGGAGGAATAGGGTCTTGCTCAGGTACCTAATTCCTCAATAGTATATGATCTATCCCTGGGAGTGTACGAGAATAAAAATTGAAGAGCTTGTCAGAAAATAATGTTAAAAAGAGGCTGGGTCCACTCCAACCATAGCTCACTGGACACGTGGGGAGAGAAAGATAAGTGGAACCATTGGAGGGAAGCTGGTAAATCAGATTTAATGTTCAGTTTGTGCAATGTGATGAGGTAACATGGTGGGAGTTAATAAAACAACGAGCAGATCACCTGGTAAACCCAGCAGGACAGACAAGCCTGGAGACTAAAACCTGCTCTGTTTCAAGCACAGAGCTCTGCGCAGTAACAAAGGGACTCAATTTGGACTGTAGCAATTTGGATCTTTATTTTAAGTGGGCTGTATTCAGTTTCTTGCAGTCATGCAGCACACTGGGAGCTCAGAGCTACTGCACCATCCTCAAGCACATGGAGCTTCTTGGTGTCCTCCAGATTATCCCTGTTACAACTCCTGGTCCAACCTGCATGCAGCCGCAGGCTCCTTGTAATTTAAGCACAGGTGCAGCGTGGCAAGCTTCTGCTGCCTTCAGATAAATGGGCCCCTGCTGGTCTGCTCTGACCTTGCCATGGAGAGATCACCACGAGCAGTGAGCAGGAAAGGTTCATGTTGGTCACCTGGGGAAGACTGGTTTTTAGGACAGGGACTGCAGAGCTGCTGAAAAATACTGGGCCAAGGAAGGAGTTTGTAAGAAGCTGTCTCAGAACATTGGACGGTGCCCTCTGTCTTCATCTCCTGGCAGATAACTGCATGGTTGACTGAAGCAGAGGTTGTGAGAGTTGTAGAGTGCTTGGCATCTGTCTGAAGCTTTGAGCTCCTAGATTTTGGGCTAGGCTAAACTTTGATACAATAATGCTGAGTTTTGGCAGTTACCAGCACTCGAGAAAGCAAGGGATGAAAACCACAGCTGAGAGACTCTGAAAGCCTCCTCTGTATCTCTGCCAAGGCACCGATCTGCTGCATCCCCTCACCACTGTGGTCCTGAAAACGCACAGCTCTGCCAACACACTTCAGTCCCAGCTTAGAGCCCCTTCCCTCTAGGGTCCCATCCCAGTGGCTTTGCCGCTTCAGCTCAGCACTGACATGACAAACCTCCTGCCATACTTCGCCTATTACAACCTTCATGAGAACAGACTAGCAATTCTGTCAGCCTGTGAGCACCAAGCACCTAGTAGTAGACCTCAAGCAGGCTTCTCACACAAAACTCAGCACACCCCACTTGGCAACAACTGCTGCATTTGCAGTCTTGCAGCCCCTCTACAAATGTACCTCAGAGGTTGCTAATTGCTGTGACTTTAGTGTTGGATTCAGAATTAGAATTAGAGACTAAACTTCATTATTCAGAAACAGATATAAAGCAGGAACCCAGCTCTCTAGAGGCAGAAGGCTAGTGAGCGCACTCACTTTCTCCTCGCAATACGCCTACACCCATTTTTATCTGCACCCAGCTCATTGGCAATCTTCTATCATGGACTCATTGCATTCACAGACAGGCAAGGTCAGCTGGCCCACATCCCTCCTACCAGTACTGCTCTATTACACCCTGAATTGTGTTGTGTCCAGTCTAAACACCACAAGCCAATACAATACCCCAATTACACCCATCAATGCTGTCTCCCTGATCCCATCTGCTCCCTCATCTGTCTGTATCATTCTGTGGTCTCCTGTCTTATAGTTGGATGGTCACCTTTCCAGGACGGGAACCATTTTCTTATTCCAGGTTTATACAGCACCACATGAAGTGGAGGTCTGGTCTTCAAGCAGGGCTCCTAGGCTCTTTACCCATACAGATACAAACGTCTATTACAGTAGCAGCGGTAGACCCCAACCAAGGTAAGGAATCCATTTTGCGAGGTGCTGGGTGCTCAGGCCTTGCTCCACTGTAATCAGTGGAACAGCACTGTTGTTTCACTCCAGCTAAAGGTCTGGTCCAGGAGAACTCATGATTTCTGGCTACTGTTACCATATTCTCTTGCATACTACATACTACCTGCTCCTGAATAAGACACACACCTTGGTTCTGAAAGGCATAATGATGAAAAAAAGATCTTTCCTTGAAAATACCAGTAAGTAGCAGTAAGTAGCTGAGTAGCAGCAGCTAGGGAGCTCAGTCTGCTCACTGTACACCCTCCATGGAGCACTTTCCTTTCCCCCCAGCAGAAGCTAACAGGTGCAGAAAGGCTATTACCATATTTCCTTGCTTATGATGCACACCCCATATTTCCAGCAGCTGATTTTTGGGGAAAAAAAATGTGCTCATTATAAGCAAGAAAATACAGATATTTATTTCTATTCCATTAGGCCATAACACTCTAACTGAGAATAGGACCCCTGAACTTGGCACTTTACAAATGGAATAGAATATAGTCCCTGTCCTGAAGTGCTTACTATCCCAGATAGACAGACACAGTTAGCCTTCAGATATGCTATCTGGACAAAATGCAAAATCCTTTTTTCCCTACACTCCTCTCACATCACAGCCCCCTCTCTCCTGTGCCCCAAGTAGGGACCCATGCTCAGTTTCACCACTTGTGTGGTGTGGCTGGCAGAGCCCAACATTGCACTGGCCTCTCTTCGCCACCCTAGGGCATTGCAGACTCCCGCATGTCTAATTTGGCCATACTTTTGCCTCCTGATTTGCATTTGTATGGTGTCACCTCACGTGGGGGATACAAAAGCACTTTTTAATGGAAACTGGGCAGCACTTGGTGCTGAACAGAAACAATGAAGAAATGACGCTGCCTCAAAGATGTGGTTGTGTAATGAACCAGAGAAATGAACACCCAGGCCATGGGGAGAGACTGCACGTGTGTGTGAATGCCCCTTTAATGCCACTTGCTCTGAAGGCCCTAATTACCAGGTTACTGCTCATTATATACCCTTCTCTGAAAACACCAATGCCACTCAGCTCTTAAGTGCAGTCTGTGTGAAAGTTAACGGCTTAATCTACCCCAAAAAGGGGAAGGAATCACCATATATAGCCAAGGTGGCTGAGGGAACAATGAGGGGTTCTTGGCATTTCCCGAGCCTTTTGTCTGTAGATGACAGCAGAGGAGCAGGTTGTAAATATTCATGACTGCTATATAATGATCAAAGTCAAACAGGTCATCACCTTCCTGCAAGGAGTCTGGTGGTGAAACAGTCATGAACATTCCCATTATTATTCTTATTATTAACTATAGTGCCTAGAGACACCAACTAAGATTTGGAACAGGGGAGGAATGCACTAGGTGTTGTGCAAACCCTGTGAGAATGAGTCCCTTCCCTGAAGAATTTACAATCCCAACAAACGAGACTAAGGGCCAGGAAAAATCGACAATGTTACTAAAATATCCTTGTTTTGCCAATGTGGAACCCAGACGCTGAGATTAAGCAATTAGCCCAAGGACATGGAGGAATCTGTGGCAGGATATGGGATCCTCTGCAAGTTCCCCTAGTAGAGCTGTGCTGATTAATTGATACTTTTCCAAGTCTCTAGTCACACCAAACCCTCCAGGATCAAACATCACTCCTAGTCCAGTGCCTTAAATAAGACCGTGTTTCCTCTAATACCATAGCATTGTGAACACTGTTACTTCAAAAGGACACAATGTTCATAAAATGATCTTGGGGCAAACACCTTCTGGTTTCAGCAAAACTGTTTGTCTCGATCTATAATGTCCTGGACCCCAATCTAAACCAGGAAAGTTGTGAGCCTAGGCATGTCTTTCTTGTTCAGTAGGACTCCTGTGTGCTCTGTCTACCCCGTGGGTATCAGGTGGCATTTTGGTTATTTGACAGAATCATAGAAGAAGAGGGTTGGGAGGGACCTCAGGAGGTCACATCTAGTCCAGCCCCCTGCTCAAAGCAGGACCAGCCCCAATGAGGTCATCCCAGCCAAGGCTTTGTCTAGCTGGGTTTTGAAAACCTCCAAGGATGGAGCTTCCACCACCTCTCTGGGTAACCTGTTCCAGTGTTTTACAACCTTTCTAGTGAGAACGATTTTCCTTGTATCTAACCTCAACTTCCCT